TTCAGACAAATGGCTGTCCAGTCTCTTCTTAAAAACTCCCAGTGTTGGAGCATTCACTGCTTCTGGAGGCAGGTTGTTCCACTGGTTAATTGTTCTGACTGTCAGGAAGTTTCTCCTTAGTTCTAGGTTGCTTCTCTCTTTGGTTAGTTTTCATCTGTTGCTTCTAATAGTAGTAGTAGTAATAATAATGATGATGATGATAATGAAGTTGGAAGGGACCTTGGAGGTCATCTAGTCCAACCCCCTGCTCAGGCAGGAAACCCTATATCATTTCAGACAAATGGCTGTCCAGTCTCTTCTTAAAAACCTCCAGTGTTGGAGCATTCACAGCTTCTGGAGGCAGGTCGTTCCACTGGTTAATTGTTCTGACTGTCAGGAAGTTTCTCCTTAGTTCTGGGTTGCTTCATAAGAACCAACACCTTTATTCCTTGCCAGCCCCATGAATGACTTTCTCGTTTTCTGCAAACTACCCATTCTGGAGATGGAACTAAGTGAAGAAGTAGGAAAAAGAGAAGTTTACGCTTCTTCAAAGACCAAGATAGATTGCCTTGAGAGAGGAAACCTCAAAAAATATGAGCGTGCAAGAAGCTACATCTCCAGAGCCGTCTGTAATGGTGGATCAGAACATGAGTGAGGTCTGAAAGGCTGGAATGTATATAGAAGTTCATTGAGGGTCTTCAAAAGACGTTTGCTGGAAGCTCCTTTCAGAGAATGGAGACTTTGAGGTTTTGGCATGAACAGTTGCCCAGCTTCAAAGCCTTTGCAAGGCATTGTTCTCTTGAATCTCTGCTTTACTTGAATACAAGTAATCCTCGAATTTTGACCATTCATTTAATGACCGTCCCAAGTCACAACGGCACTGAAAAAAGTGACTTTTGACTGCTTTTCACAGCTACGACCTTTGCAGCACTCCCACGGTCACGTGATCAAAATTCAGACACTCGGCAACTAACTCGTATTTACGACGGTCACAGCATCCAGGGTGGGTCACATAATCCCATTTTGTGACCATCTGACAAGCAAAGTCAAGGGGGGGGAGCCTGGTTCACTTAACAACCAGGTTACTACCTTTACAACTCAGGGATTCACTTAACAACCGTGGGAAGAAAGGTTGTAACATGGGGCAAAATTCACTTCACAAATGTCTCACTTAACAACATAATTTTTGGGTTCAGGTCAAGGATTACCTGTGGCTGCTTTCTTATTTCAAAAATATCTACTAAGACTTCCAATTCTGTGGTCTTTCTACAGCCAAAGCAACTTTTTTTCTTCTGGCATCTTGGCTGACATTCATGCCCACCTGCCACTTACTATGTTCCTTTTTTCCTTAGGGATGGAAATTGGTTGGATGCATTTAATATTTGAATTATTGCTGTTTGCAAGGGCTGGCTTTACTGTATAATTGACCCCAGTTTTCTGCCCAAGCTACGCCTACGCAAATTTTGGCAACATTAATTTTATTTGATCTTTTATTTCTTTTGGGCAACACAGACTTGAAACATTTCAGATGGTAACAGGATCTGGGGAAGCAATTTGGATTTTTTTTTTTAAAGATGTACCCAGGAATGAAGTCTACCGTGTGCTGTACAGTGTGTGTACCTATTGTGTTTGGGATCGACAATTGCAAGTAGCAATGCTGATAATGAAATCAGGAGTGTGAAATGTAAAATTCCTGAAGAAAAGTTAGAAATGCAAAATATTCTAGGATTCTTGTTTTAAAGAAAAACCATTAATATTAAGTAGCCCATGGGGCAATGTTGTAGCAGAGATTTACCCATGGGCTATCAAGAGACAATCCTGAGCTATATTCAGGCATTTCTTTTAATTTGGCCACCAGCAAAATCTTGAAAAAAAAAATCACTTCAGCAGAGCTAAAGTTCCTAAGACAGTTTGCTGCCTGAGGCAAAGGACGAGATTTCATATGCAGGAACTGATCAGGCTGGTGGCACATGGTTACTTCTTTCAACCCCAGCCACTGGCACAGGCCCATGTGCCATGGATGCCAACCGTGGTCTCCATTGAGAGGGAATGCACCCAATTAAAAAAATAACCAGAGGCTGAATTTGGGTGCTGAATTTGTCTAATGGTAGGACTTGCAGGGTATCACCTCTGAGAAGTCCATGACAAGGGAGGGAGGGAGGGAGGGAGGGAGGGAGGGAAGGAGAAAGAAAAGAGAGAGGGGGAGGAAGGAAGGGAGGAAGGAAAGGAAGGAAGGAAGGAAGGAGAGAAAGGGAAAGTAAGTAAGTAGGGAAGGAAGGAAGGGAGGGAAGGAGGGAGAGAAAGGGGAAGTAAGTAAGTAGGGAAAGAAGAAGGAAGGAAGGAAAGAAGGAAGGAAGGAAGGAAGGAAGGAAGGAAGGAAGGAAGGAAGGAAGGAAGGAAGGAAGGAGAGAAAGAGTAAGTAGGGAAGGAAGGGAGGGAGGGAGGGAGAGAAAGGGGAAGTAAGTAAGTAGGGAAGGAAGAAGGAAGGAAGGGAGGAAAGAAGGGAGGGAGGAAGGAAGGAGAGAAAGGGTAAGTAAATAAGTAGGGAAGGAAGAAGGAAGGAAGGAAGGAAGGAAGGAAGGAAGGAAGGAAGGAAGGAAGGAAGGAGAAAGAGGGAGGGACTGAGGGATGGAGGGAGGGAGGGAGAGAAAGGGGAAGTAAGTAAGTAAGTAGGGAAGGGAGGGAGGAAGGAAGGAAGGAGGAAAGAAAATGAGAAAGGAAGGTAGGATTCTAATGCAGAAGTAATCATAGCAACATTAGAATATAATGAAAAAAGTTGTGGGAATTCAATATTGTCGACATGTTTGTATGTCTGTTGTGTGTTTACAAATACATGCAACACACTCACATATTTTGTCAGAGTTCCTAAACACCTGCTGATTTCTTGTCCAAGTGAGAGCCTTGATGCGCACGTGTGAAAATTTCTATACTGAGTGGAAAGTCAAAGCCAGCCCCAGGGAGGATGGACAGATCTCTTGAACAGAGCTTCCCAAAACGTGGAGACTTTCCGTGCAGTCCTATCCCTACCCCCCACATCCCCAGTCCCTTTTTATGCACCGAATGGAGTGAAGAGGGAGACTTTTCCCCTAGCAAAAGGTTGATTCCTTTGATTTCTTATTTAGCCATTCTCTCCCCCACCCCAGCTCCTTAAATTACATTTTCTAAATCCTTTGTCCATCTTGTTTAGCACGTTCAGGTCTTGAGTTAGTTGAAACTTTCACCTTAGTTGAAACAGCCTGGCTCCTGAGAAAACAAAAACAAAAACAAAAAACCAAACCTTCCATTTGGGGCATCCCCAAAGTCAAAGGATAACAAGGGAACCCCGTCCCTTTGAAGGCGTCAGGAGGAAAGTTTTCCAAATGGTCTTGGCCAGCCTCAACTCCCCAACGAACGGGGTGCTTGTCTCTGATCATCCGGAGAAATGGCTGGTCCTCCTGCAGTCAGCTCCAGGAAGGAACGAGGGGAGGATGCTGGAAAGAAGGGAAGGAAACAGGATTTCTGAGTCCTTCCCTCCCTTCCTTTCCTTGTGCTGGTCCATGCTGACAGTCTCCAGGGAGAAGCAAAGCTTCCCTCTCTGCCTTTGGCTGCAGAAGGAGGACCTCCAGTTCCTGGGAAGCTCCTGCTAGACGCTCCTTTGCAGAAGTACCAAACAAGGCAAGGAAAGATGCTTGAGATCTAACCTTCAAAGCAGGAGGCAGATCCCTGACGGCTGACAGGAGCTGTTTATTCTCTCTCGGTGGAATCCGGGCGACAGATGTCTATCGAATTGTCAGCCCCGCTCAGCAATGCAAATCCATCTCCTGTTCTGGTTGGCGAGGGAAACAGCTTGCATCCAGCCGGTGTTTAGCACAGTAAGTAACTTTGGGAAAGTTGGTTTGGGAACGGCTGCTTGCTTGCTGCAGGGCACGAGAGGGACTGAGGGACACCCAGGTCCTTTTTTCAGTTGGGTTATGGTTTGCCAAGCCCCTAGAAGCACTGGGTTGTCTTCTGATGCATGGGGGGGGGAAAAGTCCTGCATGGAAAAACAGGCATGTATCTACAGCATCTTCTTTGGAAGGGACAAAATAGTGTTTCATGTCACCAAGCACAACCTCTCAGGGCAAAAATATTCCTGTTCTACCTTACAAGGTTGGTTGGAAGCAAAACAAGGGTGTCTTCAAAAGACACTCTGCTATTGTTAATGTACGATATGAGGTTACCTTTATCACCACTTCTATTAAACAGACAACCAGGGGAATTTGGGGGAAATCCTATGCAAGTTTGCAACTTTCTCCAGTGCTTCTGATATCCCTCCAAACACAAACACACACACACACACACACACACAGAGTAGCTTGGCAATTTCAGAAACTTGAGGCTGTTCTGAATTTTGCATGATTAGCTGCAGATGTTCTAAAAGCAAAAGCTTAATCCGTTTGAAATTAAGTAATCCTGATAGGTTTTTGTCCAGCTCATGATCTGAAATGCAATCAGCTTCTTTGTTTAGAAAAAAAACAGCTAGGGTTTTGTTTGGGGTTGTTTCACGGTGGGTCGTTATTATAAAAGAAGACCCTGTTCACCGTGTCTAAGATAAAAAAAACATTTAACATGTAAAGTATCCAGCTAAGGATGGGCAACTATGATTGTAATCTCCTAATGCAGAGATTGTAATCTCCTAATTAACCCCTTCTGGATATTTTCAGGCAAATCTTTGTCCAGGAAATATTGTCCTCTAATGAAATTGATTTGTAACAAATTTGGGTCAAGCAAGAGCAGTCCTCCCCATATAAACCTAATTAATTCAGAGAGAAGCCCCTAATTCAGATAGCTTAAAGAGAATTAGATAGAATTCAGGATGGTTTGGTCCACCGTTGGTTAAAGCATCTCCCATGCAAAAAACAATCTAGCTCTGAATGTTAGATGACAGGGACCATTCGTGGAGGAAAATCAAATCCTTCATATAGGGTGGATGAACTTCTTTTGACATCCTCTGTTGCAAGTGGGCCAGATGGACTATTGGTCTAATGCTGCAGGTCTAATGGCTTTTATTGCTTGTTTTTAACTGAGTTATTGTGCTCACCCTGGAACTATTCCTTTACGGCACCCACCGAGCAATGACTCCTACTTGTGATTTCCTTGAGGTGGTCTTTATGTTGTAAAAACTACTTAACTGCTCTACACAGGAGGTCTCTTAGTCAAGTCCCGGCACTTCCACATAGCATGGATTTTTTTTTTTTTTTTTTTTTTTGCCTGAAACTGCAAATCTACGGGCAGCCAGTGCTTGCCGTGCCACAGTGCAGCAAGCAGCATCTTCTGTTCTGAAATGACTTTGATGTTCTCGAAAGCAAAGTTGAAAGAAAGAAAATTGGGTTTGACACCTGATATATTTTTATTCTCCACCTCATGGTTCTGTCTGGGTTAACCTCCTTTTCCCCCCACCCCTTCCCTTGATTAGCATTGTTCAGATGCTGCTTCAAGTCCTCCATGATCATTCTCAGAGATGTCTATTCTCGCTGGAAGCAAAGAACATGACTACGGTTTTGCTTCCAGCAAATCTTTGAGCCATCTGCTTCCCATCTCAGGGGTCAAGACTCTGCCCGCCAAAGGGATCCACTACAAGAAGGTCCGGAGAATTTACTGCTCGGATCCCTTCCAAGCCTTTGATGTCAAGAAGGAGGTCATGATCAATGTCGGGGGCAGCAAATATCTCCTCCCTTGGAGCACACTGGATGAGTTCCCTTCCTCCAGGCTGAGCAAACTGAAATCGTGCAACAGCTATGAGGAAATCATCCAGATCTGTGATGACTATGATGAAGACACCCATGAATTCTTCTTTGACCGGAACCCGAGTGCTTTTGGGATGATTGTCAGCTTCCTTGCAGCGGGGAAACTGATGCTCCTTCGTAACATGTGTGTCTTATCCTTCCGAGAGGAGTTAAAATATTGGGGGATTGCAGAGTCAAAGTTAGAGAACTGCTGTTTCCAGAAGCTCCTTCAAAAGGTGGAGGAACTATCGGAGGAGCACAAAGAAGAAGAACTGCAGAGGGCCAAGCTGGTGGCTTGTGCCCAGAAGGAGGAGACCAAATTTGGTCGTTTCATGAACAACTTGAGGGACATGGTGGAAAACCCACAGTCAGGTCTCCCTGGGAAAATCTTTGCTTGTCTATCTGTCCTCTTTGTGGCGACCACAGCAATAAGCCTTTGTATCAGCACTATGCCAGACTTGAGAGAAGAAGAAGACAGGGTAAGGATGTCCTTGTTCTACTTGCACAATAAATCAAGGATGAATGGCCAATGTTCAATAGATAATTATTAAGTTAGAGCAGCTATTCCATAGATTTCTCTTGACAGCAGTCTTCTCTGTATCTATGGACCTATTCCTGCTCAGTGAAGGTCAAAGGTCAGGGTCATACCGCACATCTGGATGATGTTAGGTTGAGCAAGTTGGCTTTTGTGTTACTTTGACATGAAACTGTCCAATGTTGGGTAGTGAAACCTCATTTCTTTGCCCCTGAATTTCTATATATCATCTCATGAAAAGGTGTAGGATAAATAGCAGCTTTGAAGCGTGGTAGATAAATGCACTTTACATTTAAATCATGCCCCACCCTACTGCCCAAAAAGTCACTCGGTTGTTACGTTCTTTCCATGCTGTCTCCTTCAATAGAAAAAGAACTTGAAAGTTGCCTTCATTAAGACTAAACCAGTCATTCCCATCCTACCAGCCACTACAAATACTGCACAGTAACTTCTAATATCTCCTGCCCGTTTAATAGCAGTCTGGTGGGTAAATGGGCCTTGTGACCACAGCCTCAGACAACTCTATGCTAGATCCAGCTTTGCTGAAGGCAACATCCTGTGAACTCTGACCAAACTCCAACTGCCCAGAATGCTCAAAAGATGATGAGGACCATGATCTAGAAGAGAGACAGACAGCTTTGGCAAAGTTCAACCTCCATGGCAAACCTCCCTGATCTAGTGTCCTACAAATGGGGTAAGACTACAAATTTCAGTATTGCCCAAATGACCCAAAAGTCACTGTTCTATCAATGGAGATAGATCGAGAACCTCCTTTGTTGAGTGTTAAAAGTAGGGTTAATTTGAGAGAAGTGACAATATTCTATTCTTTAATTTGTGGTCATTGGCCATAATTAAGTTTTGATTTGATTTATGCTATTAGTTAATCACTGAGCGTCCTACATGGAACATCTTCATCCAAGATGGTGAACTTGGTAGACTTCATCTAGCAATGCTTATTTCTGAGTAAACATGCTTATAATCTAGATTTAGACTTGGGGGTTGGAAGGCAGAATCCATAAGCAGGAACATGGTCACAAAGGCGCACCTTGCTGCAGGTGTTATTAAAGAGTCCTTATATTTCCCCCCCCCTTCCTTTGCATTATCCGACTGTTGTCTACATATTTTTGCCCACCATGGAGGGCATGACATTGATAAAGCCACGAGGTTTTGAGCTGAACGATCAAGGTGCAAAGGGATGTTGAAGGCAACCATGTCGATGCAACCATTGATGTGGTTGCCTTCAGCATCCCTTTGCAGCTTGATCTTTTTCCTTGAAGGGGAAATGTTGGAGGTGGATGAGAGCACCCCTGGAATTCCACACTTCACTTTCCTCAGTTGAGCAGGACCTGTTTCTTGAATGTTGTGCTATCGATCTTCTGTTTCCCCTGGGATGGTTGCCGTTACTGATCTGTAACATCTTCACCTTGGTGAAGTGCATCCAGGTGGAGGCATATTTTAATAACAGATGGAGAGAGCAATTAAAACAGCATTCAGATCAAAACATTGTTCCACTGGTTCTGAACTTTACAAGAAGAATATTTACGTTCTTACATAGTGGATGGATAGGTAGATCGGATGTGTAGATGTATGGATGTAGATAGCTTTTCTGGATGCTTCAATCCAAGGCATGCATTATGGATTGAAATCCCCAACGCCTGGGGCCTTGAGAGAAACAGAAAGGATGAAAGGGAGAGTGGGTGAAGCTGACAATGGAAGCACAATCATGTATCTGGAAGATGCCTTCTTCTTCTTTATATCTTTCCATTCTCTTTATTTTCTCTGAAGGCCAGGGGTGGCAAGGAGTGGAGAATTTTATAGGGAAACAAAGATGGAGAAATAGGTTATCCTTTCTTTAAAAATGCCAGCTGACCTGGAACAACAACAACAACTACTACTAATTACTATAAAAATCCAACCAGAAATAACCATCTCTCTCTCTCTCTCTCTCTCTCCTTCTCTCTCTCTCTCTCTCTCTCTCTCTCTCTCTCTCTAACAAGGAGCTGATCTGCAGAAATCAGCAGCAGTAACTTTTGACAATGGCGATGAAAAATGGCTGACTGTGCATTTAATCCCAGTCTGTCTTTACAACATCCAGCATGCTAGCGATCCTATCACATTGCCGGTCATATCCCATCAAAACGGTTGCATCCTAATCTCTCTCTCTCTCTTCCCCCCTCCCCCGCCCCTGTGCCACAGAAATGAGCTTAAAAGATATTTTCTTCTTAGGTGAAACTCCCTTTTTAAAATGTCCTAATGCTTTCTAAAATCAGATTTCTGCTTTGGGGGTGGGAGGTGAGGTAGTTGTATAACCTTTACTGTTAAATAGCATTACTAAACAAAACCTTCCCAGTGATTCATAAAGAACGGTTCTTACTGGGACTTATGGATTTATCACTCAAGGAAGAGGGAGAATGTTAGGCTTACGTTTGGTGCTGCTACGTACTGTAGCTTCTTACTAATAGTTTTTTTTTTTAATTTGCCCAGTTCTCACCTTGCGTGGCTTGAGTTAGCTTGGATTAATTATTCAAATATAACCAGCAATGCAGAAAAATGTGACTCAGGCTGTTGTAATAGGGAGGCATCTGCAAGAAGCTTCAGTCGTTTCAGATGGTAAAGTGGTAGAAGAACGTTGATGTCAAATGCCCCATCATTTATTTATTGAGGTAAAAATCTCTAGCAATTTTAAGGAAGGAGGATATCAAGCTTCAACACGTTGTTAATCCATCCATCATCAAACCATCATACTTAGAAATACTAGCATTCTTCCAGTGTTTGAGGGGTCGTCACAGTGAAGAGGGGGTTGCTCTAGTCTCCAAAACATCTGAGGATGGGACAGGAAGTAATGGGTGGAAGCTTATCACAGAGAGATCCAACCTAGAACTAAGGAGAAATTTCCTGAAAGTGAGAACAGTTAACCAATGGCACAGCTTGCCTCCAGAAGTTATGCGTGGTCCATCACTGGAGGTTTTCAAGAAGTGAGTGGACAACCATTTGTCCAGAATAGCATAGGATCTCCTGCTTGAGTATAGGATTGGATTAAAAAAAAACACCAAGATTCTTCCAATTCTGTTATTCAGTATTCCGTCTTTATTGCTGACATCTATAACTGCATTTATCTATCCAAAGTCACCTATATCCAGATCCAGATCCAGATCTATATCCAGATCCCTTGATTGATCTTGAAAGCACTAAGGAGTGTGCACTGATTAACTCTTGGTTGGAAGACTGCCAAAAATTGGTTGGGTTCCACATAGACCAGAAAGTCTGGAAGAAAGCAAGTGACAAACAATTTCTGTATAGTTGGCAAGAAAACTGCACTTTTTGGGTTGAATTTAACTCAAAGGAAACTTTACATTTCATTTCGGGATCCAAACAGGCAACTCTTTTATCAATGTTTCAATATCTCTTTTACAGGTTGAATGTAGGTAAAACAGACTCTCCATTCTGTACCAAACCTATAAATGTTTCATGATGGTATGCTTTTTCAGAACTTCCTACATATATAGAAATCGGAGCTTTGTTCTCTCGGCATGGTGGACAGTATGAAATTGTTCCTTTCTTACAATTGGGCAGACCTCACGTCAAAAAAGGAATTTCCCTGGATATGCCAGTTTCAGGGAAAGAATTCTAGTCTGCACCATACACGATGCTCAAAGATTATAGGTTGAAAGGAGTCAGATTACCATTGAAGACAATTGGATGGCACTTGATACTGGACTTAATGTGCTCTATTTGGGTCTCCTTATATATTTATTCAAAGAGATGGGAGTAACAACGAGGATTCAGTGCAAGTGCAAAGTCCACTTTTGAAATCAGAGTGGGAGAGTTACCAACTTTGCATGAATAAAATGTGCTTTGAGGTCAAGAGTTTCTTACTAGCATGCCTTATTAGGGTGGGAGATTTCTCTGCTGAGAATAAGAGGAACACACACAAACAATGTTGACTCATTCATCTCCTTATTTGTCATATTTCTTCAGAAACAAATCTTTTCTAGATGTTTTAGAAACCCCGTCATCCACAATTTATTCTGAATACATCAGTTTCATCCATTCTGGAAGGTGTCAGTCTGGGGAGAATAAATATTTATGACCAACTGGTCCTTCTAGAACTTTCAGCTAACCCTCTCCAGCAGATCTTCTTCCAAGGAATATATTTTCTAAAAGTACACAATTAAAAAAAATGCCAGCAATGCCCAATCTACATCCTTGCAATAAAAATTCTAACGCAACCATCATTCCTGCATTGCAGGGTTTACTTCTTACGAATGTTGACGCTTGTCACTTGAGCAGCGCTAGATAATTTGTACAGCTTTATCCATTTCATTTTTTCTTTTGTGCTGTGAATGGAATGAACGTTAATTAATTGTTTACATTAAATTTACAGAGCTTGTAGGGAAGAACATAATTTTGCTTTGGATACTGGCATCATAATTTTCATAGGGATGGAGATACAGTAGAGAGGCTGGCAGATACTCTACACTAGATGGATGGATAGATTGAGATGGATGGATAGATAGATGATATAGATAGATAAATGATATAGATAGATAAATGATATAGATAGATAGATAGATAGATAGATAGATAGATAGATAGATAGATAGATAGATAGATATTTTTTCACAGGAAAAGAGCTTTATAACATTCCAAATATGACATCTGGCTGGCAGGAGGCTAGACCATGAGATAAGATCAGCCACATGGGATTGTTCTCCAGGGAATTCTGGTATGTGACATTTAGTGAGGAGCAAGGGGGATGTTTCCCAGGAATCCCCAATATCAACACCAGATGGCTTTCTGCTCAGTTGTTGGTCTTCCTTGGATGCTGTCGGATCTCAAGCTGGAAAGACTCTTGATTTGCTTTTGCAGAACTGGTCTCATGTTCTAAAATGCTCAGGATGCTTCAGGGACCATACAAATAAATACATGGGTCAAAACTGCCAATTCTGCTTCTATTGAACCAGATAGTTCATTGGGCATGGCATATCCCTAAAAAACCTCGCCATTGGTACCTCATCTTTCTTTAGTTGGGTGCAACACGGGAGTCCTTGTGAGCAAGAAACATATTTTGCTTCCGAATTATATGACTCTTCCCAAAGACGACAATATTAAGTTCATTGCTCTTCATGCCCTGAACACCATCAGGAAGGAAATTGTTATAGTGCATCTTATTGTAAGTGATGGAAATCCTTCAGCTAAAAGAGTGGGTTAATGAGAAGGAATGAGCTAATGTCCCTTCATGGTTCTTGTTTTAAGATAGGGCCATATTTTCACTGCTCTTAGAATGTCTTTGAGTTCTTTAAGAAGGTTCAATGAGTTCTGCATTTTAGCCTGGATACATAGATAGATATAGAGAGATGTTGTAGGAGAAAGAATGGCAGAACCATTCTGGGGGTGGAGTGAAAAGAGGGATTAGCCTAGAATCCCTGTATAGCCACCAGCAAACTAAACCCAACCCCTCTTGAGTGCCATTAACTCTGATCTAATTCTAACCAGGAGCCAACCATTAGTTGAGAAGATTCCTGTACAGAGGCTTTTAGCAATAGATCAGTTTAACTGAATCTTCACCTATAGACCTGATTTTTCACGCCTGACAGATATAGACAGATAGAGATAAAGATCGATAGAAGTTATTTTCATAGGAAGATAAGAGTTTGGGGTGTCTATAACAATTGGAAGGGACCTTCGCAGGAGAAGTATTTTGTGGTATGGAAAAAATGGATAGATTTTATACAATATAAGTTGGATATTAAAAAATATTATTTAGTTTTTCAATAACGTATATTTAAAATTTAAAATATCATAGATTTTATTTTTATGTATTTTTATTCTTTATTTTTATTATATTTTCTTTTATCTTTTTCTTTTTTCCTTTTTCTTTACTCTTTTCTCTTTTAAGTATTATTCTTTTGGTATTTACGTCTTTTTATATATGTATATTATTGTTAATTATGTTACAATTTGTTTAATTAATGTATTTAGTATTTAGATTTATTCATGGTTTATAGTTTTCTGTTTTAAAATTTTTTGAAAATTTTTTAATTAAGCCTATGTTCAGCTCTGGGAAGATCGGGGGGGGGGGAATGGGAGGGTTGGGGAGGTTTGGGGATGGGTTGTTTTGTTCTTGTAAAATTTTAAAAAATTAATAAAAAAGTACTTTAAAAAAAAAACAATTGGAAGGGACCTTAGAGATCTTCTGGTCCAACCTCTGCTCAAGCAGGAAACTCTAAACCATTTCAGACAAATGGCTATCCAGTGTTGGAGCACCCACAACTTCAGGAGGCAGGTTGTTCCATTGACAATTATTCTAACTCTAAGGAAATTTCTCCTTCTTTCTAGGTTAGATCTTTCTTTGATAGGCTTCCACCTGTTACTTCTTCTCCTGCCTTCAGGTGCTTTGGAGAACAAGTTCACCCACTTTTCTCTGTGGCAGCCCTTCAAATATTGGAAGACGGCTGTCATGTCGCTCCTAGTCTTTCTTTTCATTAAACTGGTCTACAATGAAACTGCAGGATACTAACATTATTTTGGCTTTTTCCCTGCTCCTTTTCTGCATCCAGGGTGAATGTTCCCAAAAATGCTACTACATCTTCATCATAGAGACCATCTGCGTAGCCTGGTTCTCCCTGGAATTTTGCCTTCGGTTTATTCAAGCAAAGAGCAAATGTCAGTTTTTCAAAGGGCCCTTGAACGTTATCGACTTCCTGGCCATTTCTCCTTACTACGTCTCCCTCATCATGCTGGATGACGAAGTTTCGGAGAACGACCACCGTCCCAGCGGGAGTTCATATCTTGAGAAGGTGGGTTTGGTGCTACGGGTCTTAAGGGCGCTGAGGATACTCTACGTCATGCGCCTGGCGAGGCATTCTTTGGGCTTGCAAACCTTAGGTCTCACCATGCAGAGGTGCGCTCGTGAATTTGGCCTCCTGATCCTCTTTCTGTGCGTGGCCATCACGCTGTTTTCTCCCCTGGTCTACCTTGCGGAGAACGAATCGGGCAAGGTCTTGGAGTTTACTAGCATCCCGGCCTCCTATTGGTGGGCTATCATTTCCATGACGACGGTGGGGTATGGGGATATGGTCCCAAGGAGCATTCCAGGCCAGATGGTGGCTCTCAGTAGCATCCTGAGTGGGATTCTCATTATGGCCTTTCCAGCTACCTCCATTTTCCATACCTTCTCCCATTCCTACGCGGAGCTGAGGAAACGGCACAAGCGATTGCATGCCCAACTCACGAGAATAAGAAGTGCCAACACAATCAGCGAAAGAGATACTTTCAACGAAAGCGAAAGCTTTGCTTCGGACGAAAGCGAGTACCCCATCAAGTACATTTTCAAAGGATAAGGCTCTCCTTTGCCATAGAACGTGGACTTCAAAACCGCCACCACCACCATCACCGGGCTTCCCAAAGATGATAGGTAGTCTCCAGCTCTTTCAACCACCCTTCCAACCAGCAGCTTAGAGAGCTTTTTGCTCAGGTGCAACCACGGATGCTTGAGTGAGACCAGGCAGAAATAGACAAGATTACCAGCCAAAGGGTGGAATGGAAACTATCAAAGGCTGTTGCTGTCTTCAACATCTAAGAGAAACCTGGCTCTTTGGGCCTACCAAGTTGTGGTCCTCAGAGAGCCTTCTGCAAACTGGGAATTTTCGGAGGGTAGGACTGGGTGCCCCATTGTCTCCATTTGACTGGTTAGATAGATGATAGAAGTTTTAGTCCCAGCAAAAACTCTGCACTAAACTGTCACGAAATATTCCTAAGCTTGGTTAGATTTAGCTTGGGTTAATTTGTTTGTGATGCGGTGATGTGCAGATTCAGCCCATTTAGAATCCAGTATATATCAGATGCCTCTTAGACAAGGCATAAACCAAAAGATGAAGAAATAGCCTTCCTAATCATCTTAGTTTTTATATTGTCTACTTGTCTCGCCTTCTCTTCTATCCTCTTCCTCTCCTCTTCTCTTCTCCCCTTCTCTTCTCTTCTCTTCTCTTCTCTTCTCTTCTCTTCTCTTCTCTCCTCTCCTCTCCTCTCCTCTCCTCTCCTCTTTTCTCTTCTCTTCCCCCATTTCTCCTTCCCTTCCTTTCCCCCCTCCCTATCACTGCAGGCAGCAAATGTTTTTTTTTTTTTTTGCAAGCCTTTTCTGCCCAAAGGAGCTATACCTGGCTTTGAGTAGTGTGAAGTCCCCTAAGTAAGGCAACCAGGATAAAAATCACCAGAGAGGCAACATTTTAAAAAATGAATCAAACAATGGTGAATTTGAACAAATGAAACATCGGTTTTAAACTAAATGTAATGTCTTTTTTTTTCATCAGACTCTATAAAAGCTTTCAAATTAATAGGATGCCTCCCTTCCCCCACACAGAAAGAAGAAGAAAAACTTAGGGCAATCTGAGGTCTGTTTGAAAATGCTGGAGAACATTTTCAAGTTGTAGAAGACAGTGAAGTTTTTAAAATTTCTTCTTAGAGCCAGCAGAGTTTTGTAAACTTTAAAACTATAGCGATTCCAGCTGAAACCGGCTTCTTTCAGCCTTCATACACATACCTATAGCCATAATAGAAATATGTCTGGGCAACATTTTGGAAGGCCTAGAAATTGGCCTATTTATTTACTCATATATCGCATTTATGAGATGAGAGACAGTTTTGTGTAGTGGTTATAGTGCTGGTCCAGAAACCAGGAGACGGTGAGTTCTAATCCCACCTTAGATATGAAAGCCAGCTGGGTGACTTTGGGCTGATCACCAGGAGACTGTTGAGTTCTAGTCCTACTTTAGGCACGAAAACTGATTGGGTGACTTTGAGCCAGTCCCTACTTCTCAGCCCAACCCACCTCACAAAACTGTTATTGTGGGGAAAGTAGGCAGAGGAAGGCAGATTGAGATATGTTCACCCCCTCGAGTTACTTATAAAGTAATATAGGAGGGATAAAAATCCTAATTAAAAAATTAAATCTAGAAACCAACCCGCTCCCTCTTAGAGCTGCCCAGCTCTTGACTCTGCTGTGCTAGCTGGCACTGGATCCCATCGCCAGCCGAGTTGTTGGGTGCCCATGAGTCGTTTCTCACCCAACCGAAGGTCAACAGGATAGTAATATCTGGCAGATCAAGGCTGCATTTTCTGCCAGCATTTCCATCAGGGAGATTAAAGTAATGGCAATCTGGACTGCAGCTACCCCCCCCTCCCATCCCACTCCCTCTTCCCCTCCCTTCCTCCTCTCAGAAGAATAATTTGGGGTTCCAACTCGAACCTGGGCTGCGCAAGAATAAATAAAATGGGATCCAGGCAGCTGTGAAAAAAGAACTATTTATCCCTAAAAGCAAAACAGTTTGCCTTAGGTGCAGGGGTAGGCAACCTTGGCTCTTTTATGACTCATGGACTTCAACTCCCAGAATTCCTGAGCCAGCATGGGGGAACTATGGCCCCTTCATGACTTGTGGACTACAACTCCCAGAATTCCTGAGCCAGTCTGGCGGCACAGTGGATAGAATGCAGTATTGCAGGCTGACTCTGCCCACTGCCAGGAGTTCGATCCTGACCAGCTCAAGGTTCACTCAGCCTTCCATCCTTCTGAGGTTGGTAAAATGAGAACCCAGATTGTTGGGGGGGGGGGGGAATAGGCTGTCTCTGTAAACCACTCAAAGAGGGCTTGTAAAGTAGTGTGAAGCAGCATATAAGTCTAAATGCTATTGCTATGGCTATCTGTAATGGAAAATGTTTGAATCACAGCGGACAACTGGAGAGGACCAGATTATGTTTGAGCTGGACAATTCTTCTTGGAAGTCCACAATCCTTCAAGAGGAACATCCAGGAGATTGAGCCTGGGTGCAAATGATGCACGCTGCCACCATGGCTCAGCTTGGAAACCTCTCCCTTTCCCCTCAGCATGGCTAGCTCAGGTATTCTGTGAGTTGAAGTCCACGAGTCATAAAAGAGCCAAGGTTGCCTACCCCTGCCTTAGGGGTACCTCTGAGAAATGGGGTACAGCGGCAGATTTATATAGGGGGAGCCTAGATAGTGTCTACGCGCTGATTCTCGGGTGACAATTGAAGTGTGTGTGTGTGTGTGTGTGTGTGTGTGTGTGTGTGTGTGTGTGTGTATGCTTGTGACCAGGCAATTCTGCTGGGAGACTTAAAATTTAACTAACTCTGTGTTTGCAGACCTTACCCTTTGTGGAGTAGGTCTGGGTAATGTATTTGGGGGGTTTGAGGACCTTTGCTAATTTTAGTTGAGTAACTTAGTTTCAGCTTGATTGTCCGTTATCTAGCAGAGATACTGATTCTCTGACCATTCTGGAGTCTGTTAATGTTTTAAGGGAAGATGGGAACCGTACACAGAATAAAACATGTTTGGATATCAAACTTCTCATGCTCTCTCCCTCCCAGTTTGGACTGAATAAGAAAGGGCAGCAACAGCAGAGGGTTTTTCCAGAGTTCTTTGAGCTTCAAGACCCCTTTAGTGCTGTCTGTGACTTCAAAGTAGAGGGATGGCTGACATTTTCTTGGCTACTTATATCACATCTCCAAGCCCCAAAAGTCTCTTGATCCTGCATCTTCCTATCTCCTAATGTCCCAAATGGAAAAAAACTTTCCCGATGCTTTTTAATCCTCCTCCAACTGTTTGATCTGTAGCTGTATCAGGTTTGCACAATAAATTACTGGCTTTAGCACCTTCTCCCTCCGAGAGAGACTCAGAAAGAGGGAATGCAGCCTGCTCTCTTTGAATGTTGCACTTAACTTACAGAGGTAAGAAACAAGTAATAATAAAAACATGAGCAAGAGAGAGACTGCAGTGTATTATTTCAAGTGTAATATTAACGACGTACAACATAAGGATGGGGAGAGGAGTTGGAAAACTTTTCGATTAGCGCCATTTGTAAGTACCTAGAAACGGTTACATGATTGGAACTTGCGCTATTTGAAGCCACAGACCTACAGAAAATAGATTAATAGTTTCATCTATTAATCTAGATAGATTAATCTATTTTAGATTAATTAGATTAATTGGTTCTAGTTTGCTGGAAATAGGCAATGAAAAACTTTGAAGCTGAATTTTGATGGGGGCAGCAACGGAACATTACAGTAAAGGAGAAAAAAAGAATATAGTTGTAGTTTAAATTTGTGGCTAAGAAGCGCACAGGATCCAAATCGAAATATCGTTCGTGAAGGTGAGCTGACACACACAAAATAACTTTTTTTTAAAGCGTGTGCTGGTGAAATCTTCCTTTTCTCCATTTTGCACACACGAAGATTAGAAGCTTGATCAAATATGCTTCTGTTTTCCTCCATGTTCTATCTATCTAACTCTATCAGAGTTCCAACAGTGCTTGTAAATCCCACCTTGCATATGGATTGCAAGTAACTTGGCTCAAAGGATCGCCTCGCACCGAAGTCAAAACAGACAAAACAAAATTTTTGAAAAGCTCTTATCCCTGGAGGGTTTTTTTGTTCTGTTTTTTTAAAAATTGACTGGCAACCATGTGACTGTGCTTGAGCAGGAGTTGGACTAGAAGACCTTTGAGGTCCCTTTCAGCTCTATGGTTCTATCTTCTGGGTTCTGTGATTAAAGATAAACTGGACAGAAGCAATTTAAAGTTATTCGAGATTTCGTCTTGCATTGTTTATTCCAGCCAGCTTAGTCCTCGTTTATTCCTTCTTTTCTTAGATTTCATCTTTCTGGTGTCTTCTCTGTTTGTATTCCCCCCCCCCCCGCTCCAAAACGAATCAATATGCTGAAAAGAACATTGTGTACTTACGTGATTTAATTCTGTCTGGTACAGGCAGTCGTAATCAGCAGTTATTGGGTCAGCAAAGGACCACCACTCAAATAATTTCATCACCAGGCTTAATTAAAAGAACAGTTTGGGGATCTTGGCCATCTGCCCTAGTTAGTCGGTTCACGTTTTTTGCATCACTTCAAAAAGATTTCATGCGTTAACATGTTTTTTTTTTTAAAAAAAGCATATTCCTGAAAGAGTCAATCATTTCTTAACTTTTAAACCTGATTCCCTCATTGTGGGAGTCTTAGGTGTTCAAATCTGCTAGCCCCCATTAGGCCAGCTTCACACATTGCACTAAACCAGTATTCATAGTTTACAAACCCAAACGGATTTACTCAATGCACCAAGCCAGTTGCAAATCAATCATGTTCTGGAGTTTTCCAAAGCTCGGGATAGTTTTAGGGTAACAAACCTTGGGTAACAAATTCTGGTTTTCAGTTGTCCACATAGCCACCATTTCAGATCAGAAACGGATGACTCAAAGAAGCTAGATAAAATTGGGTTGGCCTATAAAATGGCAGTGGACACAATTATTACCTAAGCTTGGTTACTTAAGTTTATTGTGCACTCCTGGGAATTAAAAAGTAAACAAAACAGGTGGGTAGAATTACTGTAATTATTGCTCGTCTCGCTTTGTGCCCGAGGTAGAAGAAATTTCAGACTCCTGCTGTTTTGTAACAACGCTGAAAGTTTCCAATTTCAGCGGAATCAATGGAGAAGGTAACATTTCAAACCAGGATCTGACTGCCAAAAGCTTTCAGTGGAGCCAAGTCAAGATCCAAGCTAGACTGGAACATTCAGGAAAACAGAGGCAGTTATTCCTCAAGCGGTAACCTGGAGCTCATGGAAAGCTGATGGAGACAGAAACCACCATCTTGCTAAGTTCCAAGGAAGACTTGGAAATCTAAAGAGGTCCACCCAAATACAAAGCAGCAGGAATAGAAGGGCTACCAACAGGAAGTTAAGGAGAAGGAGAAGGAGAAGGAGAAGAAGAAAAGGAAGTAGAAAGAGGAAGAGGAAAAGGAAAAGGAAAAAGAGAAGGAGAAGAAAAGGGAGGAGGAGGAGGAGGAGTTCTACCTAGTTTATGTTTATTGTGTCAAGCAACCTGGAGAGTGGGGAGAATTGGACTTTTTTTTTGGACCTTTAAGGACTTCAAAATAAGATAACTAAAATCTGAGTATATGGACAACTGGGTCTATGGAGTTTTCCAGCACAATG